CAGCAATATTTCAGCTATATGATGGCGGTCTGAACATAATCCAGTCTGGACCAGACAATCCAGTGATTGATAACATGAGCATCAATCTACGCAATTGGGATACGATGACATGCATCAACAAAGTCAGCGAGCCTGACCAACTAATCCCAATATATCTCCTATATATTATAATAACAAACTCTCTACAGCGAACTAATGTATATAGCGACCTGATATCCAATCACTGACAAGCCTATCTACCACTAATTAGTGACGTGTATAGCGAACTGAGAAATCTCACTCAGTGTCAAGTGTCACTGACAATTGGCTGTTTGCAATCAGCGGCGAGTCAACACAATGGCGGCGAGTCAACACAATGGCGGCGAATCAACACAATGGCGGCGAGTCAACACAATGGCGGCGAATCAATACAATCACTGGTGACGATTCAACCTTGTTAAACTTGCATTATGTTACTCTTAACTGTCCATGTAAGTGGACTTATCTTGTCTGTAAAACAACTAAATTTCATTTAATAATGTTTACATTATTTTATCATTGAAATCATGTCTGGAAGTGATCGGTAGATCGCACAACTCACCGTTATTTACAGCAGATTACTGTTATTGACGCCTTGAAACAAACTTAAATTGCAAGAGAATGGATACATATGTCATAAATGCCATACTTTGACCAGTTAAAAGTCGCATTTGAGGCAGTTTGACTATTATATGTCAACAAGACATTTTCAAAATTGAAATACATGTAGCGCAGGAAGTCCCTACGGTGACTGGTCAAATTCCATACGTAAAAATATCCTGTGCTAAAGTGGTACGCTAATGGTTCTTATTATTTTAATATATAGTAAAAGCTGTAACTAAAATAACATGATATTGGAATATATTATTCTGAGAAAATATTAATTTCAGAAACAAGTTCTTCCGACCACTGCATCAAAATGTTTTGAAGTTGTATCATTGGGTACTTTTTAACTGAATCACCGGTAGATGCAGGATGTGTATGTATTGAGTTTTGTTTTAGCCAAGATGGCAGACGTTTTTGAGCGAAAAAACGCATATAATGAACAACGTATGTAACAAACTGATTTCTCTGGTCCCTTGTAGTTCCTTATATCCATGTCCTACTGTATACAGATTCATGTGTTTAGTTGTCATGAAAGGGGATTCTCATAACCAGTGGAATAAAGTATCATGTACATATCACTTTTTAGAATATTAATTTTGATTGGTCATCAGAGGTTTCAAATCCCAATAACACATTGTTTCTCATAACCAGTAGAATACAGTATCATGTACATATCACTTTTTAGAATATTAATTTGGATTAGTCATCAGAGGTTTCAAATCCCAATAACACATTGTTTCTCATAACCAGTAGAATACAGTATCATGTACATATTACTTTTTAGTCAGAGGTTTCAAATCCCAATAATACATTGTTTCTCATAACCAGTAGAATACAGTTTCATGTACATATCACTTTTTAGTCAGAGGTTTCAAATCACAATAACACATGGTTTCTCATAACCAGTAGAATACAGTATCATGTACATATCACTTTTTAGAATACCAATTTTGATTGGTCATCAGAGGTTTCAAATCACAATAACACATTGTTTCTCATAACCAGTAGAATACAGTATCATGTACATATCACTTTTTAGAACATCAATTTAGATTGGTCATCAGAGGTTTCAAATCACAATAACACATTGTTTAGTAAACTACAATACCCTTCCACCACTAGCGATGACCCTACCCATTTCCAAGAAACAATCCAAACATAGCTCTCTATCTCCTACACAGTAGGCTTATCTTCTTAAATAGCCTGCAGTACATTTATCTGGATATAAATATTTATATACTTCAGATGATCAAAGAAGGATCAATCATTGAACCGAATCCCTCAGTTGTACCATAAACACTGATACAATCTCTGGCATAACCAATCTATTTTACCGAAAAAGACTCAAGGCATCTTTTGCTTTTGTGAGACGACCAAAATTGCCTTGACCATATTATTCTAATGTCCTGGCTATCAACGCCCATGGTAACCAGCAAGATAGACCGAGACAAAAGTCCACTATTCTAAATGAAATTCAGATTGCTGCTACACCATTGCCCTTGAGAGATATTTCCCTTCCTAGCTTTTCAGGACCTATTTACGAATAATTCAAAGGACTGCCATCAATCTTTCTACCCCTTGAGATCACAGTCTGACACTTCAACTTCTATATGGTGTGTATCCTCTGGCAGTTAAATATCTCCTTTCCTGGTATTCCATACACAGAATATACATACTGAAACACGCTATCTTAAAAGTTCATGTTCTATCCTGTAGTTACACTTTGAAAATACTGAACCAGGTGATGACCTGGCCGTGGCCTTCAATTCATTGAGTGATAATCAACCTTTGAAAATTTAATCTCTTCTTTCATCTTTTATTGATTTTCCAAAGAGCTGGAACAACTAAATGAAACCTTTCTGTTTAAATAGTCTAACTCTTGTACATTAACCCTTGTTGGGGCAGGAACGACCACATGAAACCTTTCTGCTTGAATAGTCTAGCTCCTGTAGATTAACCCTTGTTGGGGCTGGAGTAAACAGATGAAACCTTCCTGCTTGAATAGTCTAGCTCCTGTAGATTAACCCTTGTTGGAGCTGGAGTAAACACATGAAACCATTCTGCTTGAATAGTCTAGCTCCTGTAGATTAACCCTTGTTGGGGCAATATATAAACACATGAAACCTTTCAGCTTGAAAAGCCAAATTCACACTTTAACAATGTTTTTGTGTGTTTATTTCCTTGCTGTTAAACGACGCACTCAGCAATATTCCCGCTATATGACGGCAGTCTGTAAATAATTGAGTCTGGACCAGACAGTCCAGTGATTGACATCATAAGCATAGATCCTCGCAATTGGGATACGATGACATGCATCAACCAAGTCAGCAAGCCTGACCACCCGATCACTTAAGACGCCTCTTACGACAAGCATAGCCGCCTCTCACATCAAGCATGGGTTGCTGAAGATTTATTCTAACCGGATCTTCACGGGTCCAATGATGTATGCCAACCAATATATAATATCACTGTTTTCTGTGGATGCAATGAAATTCTCTCCAAGTTCTGATCAGTGTCAACCATTTCCCAACTGATGTCATGAAAGTGTGTCATGACTGACATGATGCTTTTCTTACACTGACTGTATCCTCTGTGTAGCTGTGCTGCAACAGCTTTTTGATCCAGACAGGAAACAGATTATTTTAGCCAATTATTCTGATCAATCTATTTTTATCTGTTAACCATGGTGGATTGCCCTTTTGCAAAACTATTAATATTTTTCACAATGGACTGTGATAGTTTGGGTAATAAATGTAATATTTTGGTATTTTGTTTTCCAAATAAAGCAGAATTCATATACAAGGTAAGTTTTCATAATAATAGAAATATGTGTTTACAATTAAAAAAATTCCTCCTGTTTAGGAATCATAATATCTTGGTATTCATCCACTAAACGAGAAACACAATTTCTTGAAGACCACATGAGATATGTCTGGATGGATGGGGTTAACACATCTTCAGCCATTATCGATCATCTAAAATTCAATTTTCACATTTAAGAAACCATCACGTCAAAACAGTTCTCGTTAAATAAATAATCTTCATGATGAGGGCAACATGACCAGAAGTTTGCTACAAAATGAGTTCTACTGCCAAACCTAGAAACATAATTAGGACAAACCGGGATTCAAACTCACAGTCTAGATTTCTGGCTTGCCCAAGGATGCAGCTCAGCTAACATATAAAACGTGAAGATGTTTCAAACTATTATTTTGTATAAAAGACATATTACCTGACAATTTGATAAAAAAGTTTATAATCTTTTCAGTTCTCAGATTATTATATGCAACCTTTGTTGAATGACCTCATATTTTATTGTAACAGAATAATGACTACTAAGTCAAATGTCTGAGCCATATTTCTCTGATTTCAGTCAAATTCATGTAAACACAAACTCACAAACTACTTAATTTCTTAATGATAGTGGGGCGATTGGGTAGCCTAGTGGTTAAAGCGTTCACTCGTCACGCCGAAGACCCGGGTTCGATTCCCGACATGGATACAATGCATGAAGCCCATTTCTGGTGTCCCCTGCCGTGATATTGCTGGAATATTGCTCAAAGCGGTGTAAAACCATACTCACTCACTCGCTCTTAATGATGGTGATACTGGACAGTAATAATAATTACACAATCCGGATATAGAGTTGGATATATTTTTCAAAGTGGCTGCCTCATCAACACATATAATCAGATTCTCCTTACTGTAAGGCTACACTCCATGTTGGGAGCATCAAGTTCAACCTGGGTCGGGACGATTTAATACTGAATTAGTGTCCATGTGGAATTTGTGTAATCTTTAATCACACAATATTTCCTTGTCTGACCTTATAAAGTCAGCATGTCTATTATGCCGCTCACAGCAGTGTTCCAGCAATATCAAGACAGGGGATGCCTAAAATGGGCTCCACACATTGTACCCATGTGGAGAAATAATGGTACTCTGAGCTGTGTGTGGCCTTATTCAAATGTAAATGCAATATAATTTTAACATTCTAGCAACACGTCACAAAAAAGCCAAATGAAAAATAGAGAATTTGAAAAATATAAAAAAATAATTGAAGATAATTTAATATAATTTTTATTTTTATTTCAACCACAAAGGTTTGGAGAATAAATATTTGCAAACGATCTCATAAAATACGGTTTAAACAAAGTATTCTTTGTTTTTTTAGAAATCAAACACTGTTCAATAATAAATTTACACGCACCACCTTATCAAATAGAGTACTGAATCATGCAATGACATTTCTTCGACCTCATCTGTGCTTAAAACCAGTGTTCCAGTAAGTCCCTGGCAGACAGGTTAATGTGGCATGAGATCTGCCCATGGTCTTGTTTCACAGATCGGTACCCCCTGGTGCTGGCGTGGCCTACCTGACAACTTTAGTCCCATTTCTGTTCACTTGAATATCAACCATACATCCTGAGTCAGTGTAGGCAGCAAGGTTTATTTCAGCAAATTCAGCCTGCAAATGAAGAAAACATGCTTGAATGCAGCAATAATATTGTCAATGCAGCAAGTTCAGATATGAGAAACTGCACAATATAAATCATTAATGCCACAAACAGACCAATATTTGTGGGTTTTTTTGATGACCTTATCAATATGCAAATAAGTATATTGTCCTCCTTGAAGTTGATTTATTACTAATCACAAATCTTGCATGTCTAAATGAGAGAGCTGGGTCTGAGGCTGCATTTAACAGTATTCAAATTACATCACGGCGTGTCAGCTTAATGTAGGCGAAAAGCCCGAAGTGATGCAGGTCCCAGACATTTACATCTTTGGTAAAACACATGAGCACAGGTATGGTGCTAACAAACCTAGAAACACAAACCGCAAACCGGGATTCACACCAACATTCTTAGGTGCCTGGCATTCCCAAGGGACACAACTCTGCACAGTGAATTGCTGTACCTTAGACGACTAGGCCACCCAAGCCCCAAAAATTCTTGCAATACAATAACAAGTAAACAAACAAAACACAGCATTTATATATAAAAAAGACAACTCCTTTCACTTTTGACACACAAGAAAAGAAATAGCCATAGAAAGGAAGCCATCAAGCAATACCCAAAGGCTGGAAGACTTAGAGTAACATGTGACCTACATATGTCACAACTAAATTTCATTTCTGCACAATGCACAAGCTTGATGGCTGCCATTAACTCAGCTGTGATGTTTACCTTAATTATTCATGCTCAGGCTATCACTATTGGAAACTAAGGTTAAACTGAAAGAGGTTGTCTATTTAAGCAAGGAAAGCCTGTATTATTCATCCATCAGCTTATCATCTTCTCTTTACAAGACACATCATATTAATGATCTGAAAATCATTTTCATTAGAAAGTGATGTATTAATTCAAATACCTTATAACAACTTTAGAGATTATGGAAATTCAGAATTTTCACATGCAGTTTTAATAGGATTGGAGCAAGGATGGTTTCACAATATGATATGGAGCTAGACAGGAACAGTTCAGTGTGGTACACAATAAAATACAATTCATGTCTGTGTAAAAGAATGATGGCTAGATATCATATATTTTTCATCCAAAACTGGCTCCCACATGAGATATGCTTGGGTGAGATCAAGCTTTATCTCCGGGGTAGATATCGCTGCAATGAAACTGCATCACAATGCTTTGCAGACCATTGTGACATCATTGATTACCATGACATCACAATCAAATGATATCACTGATTACCATGACATCAGTAATGGCTCGGCTAGTAATGCTGTTAGCAGTACTCTTTACACTGAAGACACTGCTTATCACTGTTTACAAACTGAAAAAGTTGGAAGAATGATGTTGGATGATAAATAAAATCTAGGCAAGCCTCCAAGTTTTTCCACTTTTATTAACTCGTGTTGATATATTTGATATCAAAAGACACTCAGGTGAGATTCTCTATATATACTACGAGTGTAATGATTGATAAAAATTATTGATGCAACACACCTCTCCATGCTTGATGACAAAACACCAGTCAAGTATGAAACAGCAACAGTTAACACCAATGCTGTCCTTCACTATCGAAGTAAAGTACTCTTCAAACTACTTAGCGACCGCCTCTGTGGTCTAGTGGTAGAGCGTCCGCCCGGAGAGCATAAGGTCCGGGGTTCGATCCCAAAAGATGTTATACCAAAAGACGTTAAAAGATGGTACTTGTTGTTACCCTGTCTGGCACTCAGCATTAAGGGTCTAAAACAAGGACTGGTCGGCTCGGAGTCAGTATACTGTGTCTGAGTGGGGTATTCATGTTAAACTGCGGCATGGTATCTCAGTGGGCTAGCACTACAAATTGGCATCAGTCCAGACTAGTACAAGCAGCCACACACACAAACACACACACACACACATTATGCGCATGCACGTCGCTATATAAGTGCAATAATCTTGGACGTGACATTAAACCCAATTTCACCCCACCTCACCTCTTCAAATTAGCACAATTAGTAACTATTGCAGTGCCTATATGGTTCATGGTATCACAACAGTGTTCTGTTGATAGTAAAGATGTCATTGCTAGTCACCCATAGTTAAATCCATATTCTTAGGCATATATTTATCATTATATGATCTGAGGCTAAATGTGAATATTCAATATTCAGCACCAAGTATAACAATGGATTGAAATTTCCCTCACCATTACAAGTTCAGTCAATAAATAGTTGGGACAAAAACAAATATTGTCATTAACTGATTTGATATAGTTGGAACAGTACAATGGGCTCTGCTTTCAGCAATGATTTATGATTAGGGGTGAGTGTGTGAATTGGGTTTTACACCACTTTTAGCAATATTCCAGCAATGTCACGGCGAGGGACACCAGAAATGGGCTTCACACATTGTACCCATGTCGGGAACTGAACCCGGGTCCTCGCCGTGACGACCGAACGCTTTAACCACTAGGCTACCCGACCTCCCCTGACATGCATCAGTGTCAGTCTAAGTGACATAGTCTGTTCATCAGCTTCCAACTGTCATATTGTTTGTTTTCATGCGATTTAGCTTTGAGTGCCCATATGAATATTTACACAGTTTGCACTTAAGGCTCCGACATTCAGATAAATCCTTGGGAAATGTTTTTTAACGGATGAAGTCTAAGAAGAGAATCTTTCAGTAAGGCCAAAATACATTCATTATTAAATTTTCATAAAATTTTAAAAATAAATAAAAAAATAAAGAACAAAGCGTGGTTTATTTCACGATAACACATTGTTCTATCATGATGTCATTTCTGGCGATTTGAACATGCGTTCGCAACTTGATGACGTCGTCAATTGGACAACATTATTTTTGAGAGGGAAGTGTCTAGAGAGTTGTTTCCCATAGATGTAGCTGGGCAACATAGATAAATGCAATGGCCGAATGATTGCACTCAAAGTTGGAGGGAAATGACAATTGGCATAGGGAGAAAAGGTACAGATAATCGACGTGAAATTTGGATTGTATTCAGGGAGTAATCATTATTTAAATGGGTTAAATATTTTTAAAGCTTGTACGTTATATTTACATCCTTAAAGAGTCTGCACATAATGTTGATATCTCATAGAAGAAATATATGACTCTCTGCATGCCTCATAGTTTATTCTCCCTGCAGTATTTAATTGTACGATAAACAACTCCCATTCATTATTTACTCCTTAAATAAAATATTATATATACCGGTATTGCAATATTCCAGCAATATCACGGCGAGGGACACCAGAAATGGTCTTCACACCATGTAGGGAATTGAACCCGGGTCCTTGGCGTGACAAACGAACTCTTTAACCACTAGGCTACACGACCACCCCTGACACACTGTTACTTACTTCTTAAATAAAATATTTTGTCATAGGCATAGTACTGGGATGTGGCTGGAGTGTCTACCCCGTACTGCCAACACTACCTTGTCATGTAAGTCACTGCACAAGAAACTCCTTCTGCAACGTAGCAAGCATTGATGGCAAAGTCGTTTCATAACTGTATAGCAAGATTCTCGCCATATTTTTATATTTTAAAACACATGTTTTTCAGGGTGGAAGTGATAAAAATGTTTAAAAAAAATTATTATTCTTATATCAAAAATTCTCTTTTGCTCAGCATTTTGTGTTGGAGGATCTGTAAACCAAACAAAATGAAAAAATCTACCAGTGATGACATATATATTATATTACATGCTCTCAGGATTGAGAGAGAAGGTCTAGGTTAACCATGTTTTTCTCATCCTTGATGAGAATACATTGTGGCTGTTTGTACCTGACATTTTCCAGTTTTAGTCCACTGAGATACCATGCCACAGTTTAACAAGAATGACCCACTGAAACACACCATACTGTCTCTGACCTGACTGGTTCTTGAATTATCCCCTAAATGCCAAGCTGTGGGTAACAACAATTTTCAAATGCCATCTTTTAACGTCTCGAATCGAATCCCTGACCTTCCACTCTGAGGCAGAGTCAGACACTCTATCCACTACACAAGTCAGTGACGAGATTTGTTTGTTTGTTTGTTGTATAACGCGGTACTCAGCAATATTTCAGCTATATGAAGGCGGTCTGTAAATAATCGAGTCTGGACCAGACAATCCAGTGATTGACATCATGTGCAGCGATCTACGCAATTGGGATACGATGACATGCATCAAGCAAGTCAGCGAGCCTGACCACCCAATTGGTTAGTCGCCTCTTACGACAATCATAGTCGCCTGTTACGGCAAGCATAGTCGCCTGTTACGGCAAGCATAGTCGCCTCTTACGACAAGCATAGTCGCCTCTTACGACAAGCATAGTCGCCTCTTACGACAAGCATAGTCGCCTCTTACGACAAGCATATTAGCCTGTTACGGCAAGCATAGTCGCCTCTTACGACAAGCATATTAGCCTGTTACGGCAAGCATGGGTTGATGAAGATGTATTCTGGGTCTTAGAGTGATGAAAGATGGAGATGGTGATGTCACATCCTAAAGGAAGCTATGGTGCCTAACGGGTCCAAGGTACTTATCATAACAGAGTTGAGATAAAATATGTTGGCTAATTGAGAGTGTTTTCTTATTGAAAGTTTCATCGTCCATCAAAAGTAGGGCTTCCATGAGTCCAAATTTTTGGACTCGAGTACCCAAGGGGTGAAACTCGACTCGTACTCGAGTACCCGAAAATAGGACGTCCTTTAAGAATATTGGTTCATTAGATCAAAATTGCCATCTAAAAGTTTTAAAACATGGTATAAGAATAATTGAACTGCACTGCAATGTAAATAGAAAGCGTCCACGGAACTTGTTTATCTGTCAAAGTGTATGGACGTGTTAATGTTTGCTTGAAACTGCACTAATCTTAATCACGACCTTCAAAAACATTACGTCATATCTACAAATACTACAATACATATTGAACACAAACCAAGTTTTTTTCTGACGATCAGCGTTTCATTCGACACCTGCCGTATACACAGCTGCTGGGCTGCAAGACTAAGGCCGCTAAATATGGAAATGTAGTACTATAAGTTAATTAATTCATGAGTTGGTCACATTTTCAAACTGTACCAAACTGTCGACCTGTCGCTTGATTTGTAAGCACTGAAATAGCACATATATACCAGCTAATCAGTTGTTAATCTGTGTAAGGGAATACACTTGGCATTTGAGTCGGAGCAAAGAAGCAATAATCGCCTCTGATACATTCAATTTCTTAAAGTCGGGAAGGAAAAACAATAATTACGTCTATTTTATGTGACATTCTCAATTGTTCTAATGTACATTTGGGGCGGTCGGGTAGCCTAGTGGTTAAAGCGTTCGCTCGTCACGCCGAAGACCCGGGTTCGATTCCCGACATGGGTACAATGTGTGAAGCCCATTTCTGGTGTCCCCCGCCGTGATATTGCTGGAATATTGCTAAAATGGCGTAAAACTATACTCACCCACTCACTCACTCACTCACTCACTCTAATGTACATCTACTTCCTACAAAGAAAACATTATTCAAACAATATTTTTTTAAGCTTAATTCAATATATTGATGAACAATTGAACATTGAAACAGAGTGATCTCCCCTTATCGAGTACTCGAGTCCTTGATAACGGACTCGAGTTCCACTACATACAACCTGGCCCCGAGTACTCGAGTACTCGTTGAAGCCCTAATCAAAAGAAATATTTAACTAACACATGAATAACACATCTACTAGTTCAAACTCCTTATGAAATTAATATTAACTTCTTGTCTGTCCTCAGATTATAATCATTATCAAGTCTCATATTCATATTAATATGTCCCTGGTTACAATTATCGTCTTCTGGTAATTTAATCGACATTACGGTTTGTTCTTTTTGTCAGAGTGACCTGCCAGATAATCAATGATAACAGGAGAAAAGAAATTGATACTGACAGCTCATAGAAGCTGTACCATGAAGTGTTGGCAGATCACAACCATTACCGTCCGCACAATATGTCCAGGAAACATAGGTGTAAATAAATGTGACTAAACCCTTTCAAGAATCATAAGAAATCTCTACTAAAAGCAGCATTCATTGTGTGATTCCAATTACCATAATTTCTTGAATATAGTGCGCACTCCCCTTAGCGGATTCAGTATTTTGGAAACAAAAAAATATCGAATATTATGCGCAGAAATAAATAACAACGTACCCCTTCAGCGAATTCCGGTAAACGAACGGGTGATAAGAAACTTGGTCAGTACAAATTTAAATCACCATCAACTAGTGCTGCTATGTGGTGTTTGCAAGAAGTTGAGAGCATCCTACCCCACTTGTGGCACTCATCACAAACACATGCAAAACCATGTCAATTGTTCACAGTGTGAACTTCACACAGGAAAATATGGCTCAAGACAAAATAGGGGATTGCATCAGGCATCATTTTTGTCACTAATGCATCAATTTAGCTTCAAAATTTAAAAACAATAATAGCCATAGATTGTCTAAGGATAGCCATGGACTATATACTACAGGTATCTATGAATCATCCATGATAGCCAGTTACCATAAATAAGGATAGCCATGGACTATATACTACAGGTATCGATGAATCATCCATGACAGCCAGTTACCATAAATAAGGATAGCCATGGACTATATACTACAGGTATCTATGAATCATCCATGACAGCCAGTTACCATAAATAAGGATAGCCATGGACTATATACTACAGGTATCTATGAATCATCCATGATAGCCAGTTACCATAAATAAGGATAGCCATGGACTATATACTACAGGTATCTATGAATCATCCATGACAGCCAGTTACGATAAATAAGGATAGCCATGGACTATATACTACAGGTATCTATGAATCATCCATGACAGCCAGTTACGATAAATAAGGATAGCCATGGACTATATACTACAGGTATCTATGAATCATCCATGACAGCCAGTTACCATAAATAAGGATAGCCATGGACTATATACTACAGGTATTTATGAATCATCCATGACAGCCAGTTACCATAAATAAGGATAGCCATGGACTATATACTACAGGTATCTATGAATCATCCATGACAGCCAGTTACCATAAATAAGGATAGCTATGGACTATATACTACAGGTATCTATGAATCATCCATGACAGCCAGTTACCATAAATAAGGATAGCCATGGACTATATACTACAGGTATCTATGAATCATCCATGATAGCCAGTTACCATAAATAAGGATAGCCATGGACTATATACTACAGGTATCTATGAATCATCCATGACAGCCAGTTACAATAAATAAGGATAGCTATGGACTATATACTACAGGTATCTATGAATCATCCATGACAGCCAGTTATAGCCAGTTACAATAAATAAGGATAGCCATGGACTATATACTACAGGTATCTATGAATCATCCATGACAGCCAGTTACCATAAATAAGGATAGCCATGGACTATATACTACAGGTATCTATGAATCATCCATGACAGCCAGTTACCATAAATAAGGATAGCCATGGACTATATACTACAGGTATCTATGAATCATCCATGATAGCCAGTTACAATAAATAAGGATAGCCATGGACTATATACTACAGGTATCTATGAATCATCCATGATAGCCAGTTACCATAAATAAGGATAGCCATGGACTATATACTAAAGGTATCTATGAATCATCCATGATAGCCAGTGACAATAATAAGGATAGCCATAGACCATATAATACAGGTATCTATGAATCATCCATGATAGCCAGTTACCATAAATAAGGATAGCCATGGACTATATACTACAGGCATCTATGAATCATCCATGACAGCCAGTTACAATAAATAAGGATAGCCATGGACTATAAACTACAGGTATCTATGAATCATCCATGATAGCCAGTTACCATAAATAAGGATAGCCATGGACTATATACTACAGGCATCTATGAATCATCCATGACAGCCAGTTACAATAAATAAGGATAGCCATGGACTATAAACTACAGGTATCTATGAATCATCCATGATAGCCAGTTACCATAAATAAGGATAGCCATGGACTATATACTACAGGCATCTATGAATCATCCATGACAGCCAGTTACAATAAATAAGGATAGCCATGGACTATAAACTACAGGTATCTATGAATCATCCATGATAGCCAGTTACCATAAATAAGGATAGCCATGGACTATATACTACAGGCATCTATGAATCATCCATGACAGCCAGTTACAATAAATAAGGATAGCCATGGACTATAAACTACAGGTATCTATGAATCATCCATGATAGCCAGTTACCATAAATAAGGATAGCCATGGACTATATACTACAGGCATCTATGAATCATCCATGACAGCCAGTTACCATAAATAAGGATAGCCATGGGCTATAAACTACAGGTATCTATGAATCATCCATGATAGCCAGTTACCATAAATAAGGATAGCTATGGGCGAAAATAGTGATAGCCATGAATCAACTGTGATACCCAGTTAGATTAAGTGAGTAGACAACTATGAACATAATGCACAACCAATTTGTTTTCTTGTTTTATGACTTTTTTTTATCAGTTTGTAAAGATGCAGGGGGCAAAGGAAATGCTGTGAGGGTGGATTGGAGAATAGTTTCCAAAACATAACATCTAGAAATGATGCATGTTTTCAATCAAACAGCATTATTATTTATTTTATATTTTTCAAAAGGATAGGCTTAATTGAGGCAAAACAGGAAAATAAACTGGTTTGGTCTAAACTAAAAAAGCCAATAACATAACCCACTCACCTGTTCTACTCGTATATCCCAGTCTCCAAATATCTTTTTGCCTCGAAAGTATTTTGACCTGCAAAACAAAAGTCACTGAATAAAGTATCAGTTATAACGTGAATTCTTTGTAGTGAGATCCGTGAAGATCCGGGGTAGAATAGGTCTTCAGCAACCCATGCTTGCCGTAAAAGGCGACTATGCTTGTCATAAGAGGCGACTAACGGGATCGGGTGGTCAGGCTCGCTGACTTGGTTGATGCATGTCATCGTATCCCATTTGCATGGATTGATGCTCATGATGTCAATCATTGGATTGTCTGGTCCAGTTTCGATTATTTACAGACCACCGTCATATAGCTGAAATATTGCTGAGTGCAGTGTTCATCAACAAACAAACAAACAAACAAAATCTTTTCAGTGATAATGATACAAACACTTTAAAAGAATGTAATACATTAAATTATCATAAATCCAGATATGTCATTCCTTATGTGCAATCATCCAAAATAACAACAATCAGGATTAACCAATCATGGGTAAACAGAGTAATTAATTTCCTTCTGCAGATAAATCGACATTCCCAATATTATCCAGACTGGATTGCCAGACTCATCTTGCTTCACTGTAGACGAGACAAGTTAATGTCAAAAAATTTATTACGCTATTACTTCAAAGAGCTAAAGATTTTAATCACAGCAGACAGAAATATTAAGAATATCTAGTAGGTATCTGTTACAATGAGAAAAAGATTTGCATCACACCACATCAATTCAAGGTAATTATGATTTGAGGGCATATATCTATAAAGCCATATTTACAAAGTTTTACAATAACTGTACATCTTGCAACCTTAATGTTGCAGAAAATGGTGGTGAAGGAGAGTATATCAGGGTTGTATATATAGTGAGTGCGTGAGAGTGAGTTGGGTTTAACGCCGCTTTTAACAGTATTCCAGTTACATCACGGCATGTCACCTTCATGTGGGAGGATAGGCCGAAGTGATGCAGGTCTTAGATGTTTAGGCGTGAAACCCAAGAGCATGGGTATGGTGCTGATAAACCTAGAAACATAATCGGGGCCAACCAGGATTTGAACCCACAATCATAGATTTCTGGCACTCTGCACAGTGAATTGCGGCTCCTTAGATGGCTGGGCCCCCCGTGCCCCCCGAAGACAATATAGAGTGTCCGATGCTCAACACATTTTGAAAGAATGCATATGATAAACTCTTAGATGTACGTAGCAGGGTGAATTTTCACTGATATTTCTATTCTGATAATAAATGCAATCAAAGTTCAGACCATTCATTACTGACTTTCTACACTCAATCACTGTGTCAGTCTTGTTGACTAACTTCTTGTCTCTAATATGAACATATTTTACAGAAAAAAAACAGTTGTTAAATTGTCTTAATAAAACATGCAATTACTAGGTTATAGATTGGTGTCTCCAAAGTGTGCTAAGTACAGACAGGTTTATTTCATACTTGTGGCCATGACACCAATAGTACAATGACATTCTGTAGCAGGAAACTTTGTCATGGAGACCATTTGTATACTGGATCTAAATGGATGCACACTTGTGAGTTTTATAAATATTTAATATAGGTCCGGGGTTCGATCCTGGGGTGTCATACCAAAAGACGTTAAAAGATGGTACTTGTTGTTACGATGTCTAGCTCTCGGCATTAAGGGGCTAAAACAAGGACTGGTCGGCTTCGAGTCTGTATACTATGTCTGAGTGGGATATTCATGTCAAACTGCGGCATGGTACCTCAGTGTGCTATTACTATAAATCGGTATCAGTCCAGACTAGCCACACAACACACACACACGTGCATGCACATCGCTATATAAATGCAATAATCTTGGGCGTGACATTAAACCCCATTTCACCTCACCTCACCTCTTTCAAATATCTAATTGACTAAAACTGAGTCAAGAAGAATGTGGCTATTTCTGCTGTTCATTAACTTTACAAATCTCCATTGTGTTGGATACATATAATAATAGTGAGGTTGGTAATTGATTTTATAATCTTCATATTAATAACCATATAACCCATGGTATTCATCTTCTTGGTAATATTTTCAGTATGAACACATCAATGTTAAAATATTATCTATGGAATGTCTGTAGAACTATATACACTAAGGGTATCTATATCACATCTGAACTTTGTTAAACATCTGTGTAAACTTATCGATTGAATAAAGTCTTTGATAGGCATTTAGAAGTTGGGAGAACATGAATACATGACACTTTTTGATGGATAGCAACTTCGTAGGTAGGTAGGTAGGTAGGTAGGTAGGTAGGTAGGTAGGTAGGTAGGTGTTTATTATCTATTAATTATTATATCCATCTTAAACACGGAATAGGCATGATAGTTTGGAACATCTGAGATCAGCTAATGAGTCTTGGCAACACACATCTTTACATCATTGCTTAAACGTGCGTGTTAAGTACTACATATGTCAACAGTGAAGCAAGAGTGTACTTGTTGAAACTCTATCTTATGAAACATTCATGGCCTTGACAACCACATTGCAAAGCCAGTATTTCCACTTTCCTATTTTAGCTGCATTGCTCAAACCTCCTTTCAGATAAATAAGTAAAACAGGGCATGGTTCTACAAATGTCCAATAATTCTAACTGCTATTGGATTAAATCCACCGGGCTGGTGATGAATCGTCTCGACATGAAATGAAAGAATCAATAACAAACAAAAAACATCCCTTCTTCTTTCCTCAATCTATTTCCATGGAGACTTGACATAAATATGTCTCTCAGTGGAGATCGAGGTAGTTACGGTAACGACTCATTTGCATCTTGAAGATCAATAGGAACGTTTGACTTTAAACAGTCTTCCACACCACCTTCCCATTGACACTTCACACATGTTCCGTGCCAGGAAAGGTGATCAGGTTTGTAAACGTGTACTTTATCTCAGGTCATGGAGTAGTATAAAAAACGATTTTAATGTCAAAGTTGATATATCAGATTTGCATGTTTTTCAATGGCCTAAATGTTATTTGCTCATTCTATTGAAAAATATGCTATAATTAAACTCAATATTTTTACGACATCAAAACTGGTTTAATTTGATGCTTAACTCATCATTGAACAGAGATCTACAGATTGAGCAAACTTCATACAGTGTGGTATTATTCTCTATTCAAGGTAACAAGTGCAGGGATAGCAATGTGTAATGTTCTAAGTGCCACAGGGGACACTGATTTTCTAGTGTGCCACAGGGGACACTAATGTTCCAGTGTGCCACAGGGGACACTAATGTTCCAGTGTGCCACAGGGGACACTAATGTTCCAGTGTGCCACAGGGAACACTAATGTTCCAGTGTGCCACAGGGGACACTAATGTTCCAGTGTGCCACAGGGGACACTAATGTTCTAGTGTGCCACAGGGGACACTAATGTTCCAGTGTGCCACAGGGGACACTAATGTTCTAGTGTGCCACAGGGGACACTAATGTTCCAGTGTGCCACAGGGGACACTAATGTTCCAGTGTGCCACAGGGGACACTAATGTTCCAGTGTGCCACAGGGGACACTAATGTTCTAGTGTGCCACAGGGGACACTAATGTTCTAGTGTGCCACAGGGGACACTAATGTTCCAGTGTGCCACAGGGGACACTAATGTTCCAGTGTGCCACAGGGGACACTAATGTTCTAGTGTGCCACAGGGGACACTAATGTTCCAGTGTGCCACAGGGGACACTAATGTTCCAGTGTGCCACAGGGGACACTAATGTTCTAGTGTGCCACAAGGGACACTAGGAAGTTTAGATGTGCCCTATCACATTTTAGTGTGCCAATGAGAAGAATTCTTTTGATCCATCTTTGAACTCGGTAAATGTCACTCACCAAGGCTAGATATTCAGTAGTTGTAGTTAAAAAAAGTTTGCGACCTTTCTTCACATTGAGATTGATAATTCCCTTTTAAATTCCGGTATCCACAGGTCTTAACCATACTATCCGCACTCACAATTTCTAACCCAGGTATGTTTCATGTGCTGCAGTTACTCCCTTCAGGGAGAACTTTTTATGTATTCGCATTTCATCAACTATATGGTAAGCTGAGATACTTATGTATAATGCTAATAAATTTGTTTGGGGGCAAACTGCCATTTTGTGATGTTTAATGTCCAATATCTAATAACAGGGTAGGGAAATTAATAACATATATTTATTGATGTGTAATTTTATCCTTCATCAACAAGAACTCATATAAAAAGAAATGAAAAAAAGATGAGTCCACTTTGCTTGGTATGTAAGTTGAGGGCACCCCCACATTCAAATGGTTCAACCCGGCGTGATGGAATCACCCCTTAGTGGTGTTTTCCTGCCTTTCTCTTCCAACACTTGAGGGTGTCCGGGTGTCGGCAGAGTTGCATCCCTTGGGCACACCAGAAACCTACGATTGTCAGGGTTTGAATCCCTGTTCATCCTGATTATGATTCTAGGTTTGTCAGCACCATACCTGTGCTCATGGGGTTCACCCAGGTGTTAAACGACTTAGACCTGCATCACTTCAGGCTTTCCTCCCACATCTAGTTCACATGTTGTGATAATACTACCAACATAAAATAAGGGCACTGTATTTGAATGGAGCTATCATTGACTTGGACATTTACAATACCATAGCATTGCATCTGAAAGCAACATCTAATCACAATGAAATTTCACAACATGAGTGAAAAGCATGTGATTCATGTGCACACAGAAGCAAAAAAGTGTGCACCCACAGGGGAATTCACAACCACTAATGCAACTGAGCCGAGTACATGCTTGAAAATGACTCTTAGACAGTATCTCAGTGAACAAGACAGAATGGCAAATTGTGGGTACAATATCCCATGTTGCCTGAATGTACGGCAAATGAAAAGTGAAATTTTTTGACGGTGTGACAAGTACCGTCAAATGGGCGTGGAAGCAATGAGACCTAAAAAAAACAAAAACACCTGGACAACATTGTCTCATTACATTAATTGCATTTTGCAATAGATTCAAATCTGCTCCTGTTATCAATGGATAGTTCCATACAATAACAGGAAGGCAA